TTGATCTAGATTGAATTTTGAAATTCGGAAAAAAGCGTTTCGTAGATTTTATTGAGGATTATTGTGTATTAATTTCAATCAATTATATTAAAATCATATATGTTAAAATGTAAAAAATCCTGAACTTTTACGAAAAATTAGGAAATTTAGATTACTTTTACTGTTACACAAAAATTTCTGGTATGCCATTGAAAGCGTCTCCCAAGAACCTTTCTAATGATACTAAAATTTTATATCTTTCCTTTGGAAGAAATATGAAAAAATCATAAAAACCTCAAAAAAGGACCTTTTTATCCTTTGATCCAGCTCGCCAAATATTGACCCCAGGACAAAAATTTTGAGAAACGCTATCTTATAATCAATTAAACTTTAATTTTAGTTGAGAACCAGGCCATCCTAATTATATAAGAGATTTATTGACAATAAACTATCGTTACTAATATTTGTAGCTCAATTGTTAGCGTATAATAAATAAATAAGTTGAATTTCTAAATTCATCCTTGAATAGGGCCAAATGTGGCCTGAATTTCTTTAAGACAGGATTTATTAAAATATAACAAATTGTATCATGACTGATTTTAATATACATATTTACGAAGTACAATATCGGGGTAATATTTTTATGGTAGCTATATGATACCATGGACATTGAAGTTCATCAAATTATATCTAAAAGGTTAACATTGAGGGACGGACAAAGATTCATTATATCAATATATGTATATTAGGGTGATCGATTCTGCTTTTCAATCGGTCTTAAAACCGTTTTTTCTGATTTACATGTGTCGGTTTTTTCTAAATGTTGATTTTTTCGAATATCGAATAACCCGGTTTTTAACTTTTTAAAAGCCGATTTCGAATACTTTTATTTGCTTTGTATTCAAAGATTACTTCCATTAAATTTTGAAATAAATAATAATACAGCCTGTCTAAATTTTGAAATATTCGAGTCAAGAAACTAGAGTATATTTTTCTAAAGCGCCTTTTGTTAAACTTTCTTGATTTTCCTAATTAATTAGAAAAATTTATTTGTAAAATTGATTGGAATAACTGTTGGATAAAATTTTATCAATCTTAAGATTATATTACAGTTACAATAATTAATTTGTCGCTGAAATATTATAGCAGTGTTGGAATGCCTATGAAAATTTACTAAACAGGGACTTTAGAATAAACTAGGATTATGATTCTTCCCAATTTTTTACATTAAAAAAATAATGTTTATTTTAAAAAATCAGTTCGGGTCATATTTTTTTTTTCAAATTAAACTAGATGTATTTATAATAAAAAACCGTTTTCTCTGAATTTGAAAAATATCAACCGGTTTTTTTCAAATGTCAACTATTCGAACTACTCGAAAACCGGTTTTTGGAAAATGTCGAATAATCGATCACCCTACGGTATATATAATACCTTTTCTACTTCTGCTGTTGATTATTTAAAAATGTCTAAATATGTGAAGGTGTATTTAAGAAATTAACAACTTTCAGCAAAAAAAAAAATATTTTAGTACTCTAAGATCCAAAAAAGTACCCTCTGAAATATTTTTTGATACTGAAACAAAATCTCATTTTCCATTCCTCGCTAGGATATCGAACATGTGTATTTTAAATGGGAAGTGCAGTTGATGTCAATTCTGCAGACTGCGAAAAGAAATTCTGCTAGAATTTTTCGCGCCAAGCTGTTTTCTGCATTTTTTATTTGCCACAAAAAATCTGTTGTTGTGTGTGTGCGAAAATCTAAAATGACAGAAATGATATTCTTTAAATAAAAAAATAATTTTTTACTAAAAATTGAAATTAATAAGATTGTATGCTATACTACTATACCGAGGGTCATTGTACAAAGAAACAGCAAGTGTTGGGTTAAATTTAGTTAAATTGTTAATAATTATGATGAAATTTTTTTAAGGCGGGGTTTGTTTTCGTTTAATACCCAAAAGTGTTTATCGAAATCTATATTTGGCATATTTGTGAGATCTAGAAGATTAAAAAATGTAAGTAATGGTGTTAATTAATTATTTATTTGTCTATAAAGAACGTCTTTCTTTTCAAGAAAGAGGAGGCATCATGATGGTCTCCTGGAAGAATGCCCACATATATACCTCCCTAGTCACCTAGGCGGGTGGTGGTCGGTCGGCTAGTGGTGACATGGTATATTATCACCTAGAGGCAATGGACGGAAGCTGATTGCCGTATTCAGGGGGTATCCTTGGGATACATACTTATTATTATACCATTGATCTCAGCAGAATCACTACCATACACCCATAATAGAGCGCGATGTCTGTCTGGTGTGCCTTTCAGTGAAGCTCTTGTTGTCTCCAAACACTATGGTGGCCGAATATTTACAAGAAACAATTGTTAAGCCGCCTTTTATACAAATTTATAGCTTTGTAGAGAATGTCTTCACGGACCTAGAGGATATAACCTGGCTAGGTATGTAGATGTTGTTTGGCCAAATATTGGTACTAACCATTGTGGGCTTTATGTCGACTTTAGGTCCCTTATAGTTGTCACACTATACCAAATAAGCATTCTTGCTAGAATTAAAGTTTAAAACAAGTTTAATTCCAGTCAAACATTCAAATTTCAAGTGTTGAAATACACTTTAATTCAATAGCATTCTCCAGTGAAAACGAAACTTGAATTCAAGTCGAACATTACAATGTTTTTACAGTATAATTCAATGCACGAGATCTATATACATAATACATATATAAAATTCTAACGTTACTGACTGACTGACTGATTCATCATCGTAGAGCCTAAACGGTTTTAGCTAAAGAGCTGAAATTTAGACAAGAGGTTGGTCCTCCACCAAATAGATCCACTTAGACGGGATTTTTGGAAATTCGAATGATTAGGGGGTTAAAAATGGTAAAAACGGGTAAATTCGGTAACCTCATATCTCCTAAACTATAATTATTATTATTATTAACTTATACATGTAATACATAATAACGGGCTCCCAATACGATGTTGCAACTGGTACTTTTTTGACTTAGAACTTAGAAACATGTAATTAAGTACTTGAGAATCTATAAAAGTGGACTTTTTGGTACTTTTTCGTTCTTCAAAAGGTACTTTTTGAGTTTTCTATTTTTCGTTCTTCGACTGGTACTTTTTGAATTTTTTATAATATTGAACCTAGAAACATGAATTTAGGAATGTACAGCCCGGATTAAGTAATAACATATAAAAGGGAACTTTTTGGTACTTTTTCGTTCTTCAAAAGGTATTTTTTGAATTTTCTATAATATTGAACATGGAGTAAGTGAGAACATATAAAACGGGACTTTTTGGTACTTTTTTCGTTCTTCAACTTGTACTATTTGGATTTTCTTTTATAATGAACCTAAAAACATAAAACTAAGCAATCAGGGACTTGAGTGAATGAAAATTTAAACTGGTAATTTTTCGTTCTTTAACTGGTACTTTTTGAATTTTCTAAAATATTGAATATATAAACATAAAATTAAACACGCAGTATCCTAATTGAACGAAAATTTATCTCGCTTACGTCCACTAAAATAGGAATAGTCTTCCTTTAGAGTTGCGAGTTTCCATACATTCTAATAATGTTTTCAAAGTGAAACTTTTGGAATATTTTTCAATCTCTTTGTGATCCCTTTAAATGATGTTGTTCTGGAAGAACTTTAACATCCATGTAAACATTTTGGGTAATAAACTGGGGGACTACCAATGAGGGGAGCGGAACCTCCCATATGAATTAAATACAAAAATTCGTTTATCTGGGAAACTAATATAACTAAATTCTTTAAATTTTGCACGAACAACTTTAATATAATATATAATTATAATTAAAAATATCATTACAATTTGGAAAATAACTTATCCCCAAGTGGGACTCGAACTCGAGCCTGAAGAATATTCAATTAATAATATTAATATCACAGTTCGAAGAAATCAATAATCTTAATATATAAACACACTGGGCACAGTGGATATATGTACATGTTTAATGCACTGCTGTTGATTCACGACTGAATAGGATCAACAGAAATAAACAAAACATACAAAAACAAAAAGTGTTGCTTAATTGCTAACTGACAGTTGGCTAAAGCAGCGACAAAGAGTAATGATAGATAAGAATACAACACTGAAAAAAGCTCGTAAACTTCGATCTAACTCAATAAAGTAGAATGAAATTGGAATAAGGACTTTGTTACAATTCCCATATTCCATTTCTTCAAAACTTGTGAGTTAAATAGATGATGTTTACAAGTGACATAGCATATGGCACAAGAAGATTGATGATGAGGAGCCGTAGCGGGCCCGAAAATGCATTCCATTCTGCTGTTGTGTCCGAAAAATTAAATTTTCAGTATTCTTATAATTAAAAATATCATTACAATTTGGAAAATAACTTATCCCCAAGTGGGACTCGAACTCGAGCCTGAAGAATATTCAATTAATAATATTAAATTAAAATCTTAATTAACGTTCGGAATAATTGGCGAAATTGCAATAATTTGCGTGGAATCTCCCATATGTAACAAATTGTATATCTGGAAAACCATTGTAGTTAGAATCATCAAAATTGTTAAGTAGGCTTCTTATTTATATTGCTTTTAGGGTAGCACAGCACACTAGGTATAGCTAGTAAATAAACAAATAAAATATCTTTGTTTTTACGTTATTGATCCTTTTCTTAATGCAAAATTTTTTAGAAACTGATTTTCTGCAAGATGTTTTATATGGAAGATAGGGTTAAATATCGGCAGATCCTAGTAAAACTTGGAGAAAGGATTTGTTTTTAATTTTTAAGAATTTTTTATTCAACCCTGCATAATTTCTCATGCAACTTTTGAGTTTGCTCTGTTTTGTTGTTATAAACAATATATTTGCTTCCAAAATCCTACTTTCTGATCTCTCGGATTCCGTTTTTATTTAAAATCGTTGAAAAATTAAAAACTAAACGTAGTTGAAAACTTAGCCGGCTTACAGTCGATTTTAAGCCGCCGCCGACATATTTAGTGTCAGTCGCCGCCGCCGTTAATATTTGTCGGCGCAGGGCTCAGATCTGTGTGTAATACGGATTGGTGTAAAAATATCGAAAGATGTTTTTAAATATAGCTAAAATCGCCCATGGTTATAAATTTATTCGTTCATATTCGCATAATGCAATTCCAGTTAAAATATCATGTAATATATTTGAAAGCGAACATACAGATAATTCAAAACCGCCCTTAATGATAATGCATGGACTTTTTGGATCAAAACAAAACTGGAGAGCAGTTAGCCGTTCTTTAGAATCAAAGACGAATAGAAAGGTAGAATTACTGCTTCACCTTATGTAAATATTATTGTGATAAATTTATTGAACAGACTGAACATGAAAATAAAAAATTAAATATACAAATTATTTAACTACAAAGACTACTATAAATACAAATTATTAAGTAGTACTATACATCCTAATCCTAATATATATTATAAATCTCTTTGTAAGTCTGTTCGTTTGTTTGTTCGTCAATCACGCCTAAACGGCTGGACTGATTTTCTTCAAATTTGGAACATAGTTAGATCTATACTTGGAGAGTGTTATAGGCTATATATTTTTTCAGAACTTGGACTAGAAGGGGGCAAAAATGGGGTAAAATGGGTGAAAATCGGGCAAAATGAGTACTTTTGATAGTAAAATACTGATTTTGTCTATCCTTAAGCAAAATCATTTTCGATTAAACTACTTAATTTGTTAGAAATATATATTATCAAAGTGCCGTTGTGAAAATTGTACCGGAAGGGGACAAAAGAAATAGGCCAAATGGCGAAAATATGACAAAATAAGCACTTTTGTGCTTTAAGAACGATTTTTTCTATTCTAAAGCCAAAATATTATAAACTATTATTTTGATAGTCTCAGACATATGTACATATATTTAGAAATCCCACCCTTAGGGGAAAAAACCGGTAAAAAAGGGAAATCTGTTTTTGCTGCGTAAAGAGACTTAATAAATGCATATTTTCAGACAATTCAAACTACTTCAATGAATAAATAACACAAATAAATAAACATGTAAAAATTTATAGTTGGGTATGGCTGACCATATGATGCCCTACACCAGTGATTATGATACAAATGTTGATTATTTTTTTAATAATAAAGCATTTAAATTTATTTTTACCTTAATTCAGAAATATTTTAACAATTTATTGACAAAAAAATATTTTCTAAAAGAGGGTTATATGGGGGTAGATGGTTAATATGGGCCTATACTTATAAATTTTGGAAAAGGGTTTTACGTCTACATTAAAGTTATTTATGTAGAATATCGCCGTAATATTAGTGTTTATAAGTGAATTTGAACCATCAAGTCCTTTTATGAAGGGGACTTTATATGGGATGTGGACAAATGAGGACCCCCGATGAGGGCTATGCGAAATAATGGTCCGATTTTAACCATTTTCAATAGGATTCGTCCTTGGAAGAGTATGTGCCAAATTTCATCAAATTATCTTGTAAATTGCGACCTGTTGCGTGTGCATAATGTTTTTAATTACACTTAATTTGAAACATATGTAGTTTATATTGTTTTCCAAAACTTGGATAAGAAGGGAGTAAATACTAATTATTGTCTATACTCAAGCAAAAACATTTCCGATTAAGCTTTTAAAGTGTCTAAAATATGTATTATGTAGCAAAGTTCCGTTTCGAAATAGGAGAAAGGGCAAAAAATGGAAAAATTTTTACTTCTATGTTATAGTCTGATTTTTTTTCGTTCTGTAAAAATATTTTAGACGATGAGTTTTTAGTTTCAGAGATATGTTTATTCGAAAGTCCACCCCTAGAGGGAAAAACAGGAAAAAGAAATTCAATCTAAACGGGCAAAAACGGCTAATTATGTGTTCCTTTGCTACATTTTTTTTGGACTTTTATGAAATTTGAGAAATACATATTTTTTTATTAATATTTTTCCGTAATCGTTAAAAAAATGTGTTTTTAAAAAATGTTTTTGCAAAACATCATTAAAGAGGGAAAGGTTCCTCTCTGACGTGATTTTCTTAATATATGTTTAACAACATCGATTTCTGAAATGATACAAAATATATTAAACAAAATTCATAAATTTGAATAATTCAATGAATAAAGAGGTATGGGTAGTATTTTTGGTACTGTGTTGGTACCTTTTATAAATATTCAATGAAATTTCTTTTATAGCTTTATAAGATCACAAAGAAATTGTAAGGAGTTTCTTCATAAGGAGACCTTCAGCATTTTTTGAAACATGATTAAGTTAGGGAATCACTTTATGCTTTAAGTCAAGAGTTATTTTTTCTCCTAAGTTAAATATGTATATTATAGTTTTACCTAACTAGATAGTATTAGAATTATAATTTTGGAATTTTTTAGCTTTGTAAATTGGAAAAAAAAATTGTGAAGTAATCTCTTAGTGAGGAGTAAAATGAGTAAAATTTTTTCATTTCGTAAATGCAATGTGTTATTTAAATCAACGAAATTTTTATTTTTCTGAATGTTGAAAATTTTCAGAAATTGATCTATGGACATAAAGCAGATTTTTTAGTTTACTCTAACGGGAGAATACTTAAGTATAATGTTATGAAACCACTTAAAACCCCGGGCAACGCCGCGTACAAAAATCTAGTATAATATAAATCTCTTTGTAAGTCTGTTCGTTTGTTTGTTAATTTGTTTGTTTGTTCGTCAATCACGCCTAACCGGCTGGACCGATTTTCTAAAAATTTGTAACAAAGTTAGATCTATACTTGGCGGGCTTTATAGACAAAAAGGGGGAAATGGGTGAAAACCGGCAAAATAAGTACTTTTGATAGTAAGTAATGAGTTATTGCAAAACATCATTAAAGAGGAAAAGGGAGGAAGAAAGGAGAGATACATGATTTTTTTAATAAATGTTCTACAGGACTCATATTTATTTATTTTTTATTTCATTTATTTAATACAATTTTATAACCAAGCCCATAGGGCCAAATATGGCTTAAAAACTACTAACATACATATATTCAAATACAAAATTATGAGCTATTAAACATAAAAATTTAACAAATTTAATAATATAAAAAGCTTAAACCTAAATGTTCATTCAAATTGGAAACTTGTTAATAGTTAAGTAATTTCACAGCTATTATAATATTCTACAAGTTTGTTTTTAAATATATTAATTGGGAAATTAAAACTCCTTAAGCTCCTGGGTAGAGAATTCCAAATCCTTGTAGTTCGAACACGAAAAGATCTTTCATAGATAGAACTGTTAATACGAGGATATATTATTTGTGGATTTCTAACAGATCTCGTAAATTCAAATAATTGTACCAAGTACTCCGGAAAACCTTCTACAATAATTTTATAATATTGCAACATTACCATAATATCAATAAAACTTCTAAATTTACACCCTAAAAAGTCAATCACATAAGCAGTGACATGAGATCTAATTCTAATTCAACATCAATTTCTGAAATGATACAAAATTTATTAAACAAAATACATAAATTTGGGTAATTCAATGGAGAAAAAGGGTATGGGTAGTATTTTTGGAACTGTGTTGGTACCTTTTATAAATATTGTTCAATTTTAATGAAATTTAATTTGTAGATTTCTTCATAAAGAGACCTTTAACATTTTTTCAAACATGAAGAAGAAAGGGAAAGGGGAGAATGCTTAAGTATAATGTTATGAAACCACTTAAAACCCCGGGCAACGCCGGGTACAAAAGTCTAGTAGGTATATAAATGCAGGAGTAAATTAGATACATATATTATACAATTTACATTCTTCTCAACAAATATTAACCGTTTAAATTTCATAGATAATATCTTTAGATGCAAGAAATCATGGAGAATCGCCCCACACAAATGAACACAGTTCTATGCATATGGCTATTGATATTATTGAACTTATGAAACAAATGGGCATACCCAAATCCTCTGTAATGGGACACAGTATGGGAGGAAGGACAATGATGTTTTTAGCTTTAAGATACGTGAGTGTACTTTGTATAGATTTTTAGTTACATTTTAAATATTTATTTAAATTTAATAGCCAGAATATGTAAAAGATGGAATAATAGTTGATATTTCTCCAATTTCTGTGCCTCGTGACTTTTTTGAAATGGAACAGATATTTCATGCAATGAAAAACCTTAAGATTCCAACGGACCTAACAGTGGGAGATGGTAGAAAGTTTGCTGAATTGGAGTTAAAAAAGGTTGTATCTCAAAAAGAAACTGTGGACTTTATTCTTCTGAATTTGCGTAAAAAAGACGGATCGTAAGTATTACCCTCATTGTAGTTTATACAAATTTGTGCTACACCAAAATTTACAGTTATTTCGAAATTCAGTTTGATGCCATTTAATTTGCCGCAGATCTTTATATATTGGCTGCGAAAATCTGCCAATATATGTAGGTATGTACAGTGCCGGCAAAAAAATTGAAACAAGAACATTTTTCAATGGAAAATCTATTTTCTGCCAAACTATATGGTATTTGATGATCAATATCTTAAATGAAAGCTATATATGTGTACTTTCTTCTGTTATTCAGTTATCATGGTAGAAAAACATATTGAATTAAAAGCCTTAGTTAAATCTAAGGAAACTAACACGCACAATTTTTTCTCATCCACAAAATGTCTAATACTATCAGTAAGGCTCACTAAAAGTGACGTAGTGTTATACCCCTGACGAAAAGCATATTGAGATATTGAAATTTTGTTCCCAGTGGAGAGAAGCATTTGATCTTTAATGATGTTTTCAATTACTTTAGATAACGCAGGCAATATTGAGATAGGTCTTAGGTCAGCTGGAGAGGAAACAATCTTGGATTTAGGTATAGGTACCACCCTAGTAACTTTCCAAACAGAAGGGATGATAGAAGTCGTTAATACAGTGTTAATAAGATGTAATATAACATTGGAAATGTGGGGATATATAAGTTTCAAGAATTGGATGGTAATAGTATCAACTCCGACAGACTTTGATTTAACCTTATCATGGGCTTTCAAAACATCTAACTCGTTCACACAATTAAAAGAAAAAACACCCAATGAATCATTGAACACATCAAAAGCAACATCAGCGCTATCATCAGTACCTTCACCACTAACAAAATACTCGTTAACGTTATCAACATTTCCATCTGTTCAGCTCCAACAGAATTCCCAAGTTTTTATATAAAAATAAAACAAAGAATATTTCAAATTTATTAGAGATGAAGATCTCTTTTTATTTAAACCAAAATATTACCTCATAGAAGTAAATGGATTTTAAATGTAATATGCACGTAGTGCTTGTGTCGTAGACAAATCAAAAGTGATTTATAATGTCAAACGAAACAAGCATAAATTTGGTGGCAAACAATATTTAAGCACCGTTAGCGGTTACTCCTTAGAATCTTCCAACAAAGTTGCAAAAGAAGGGAAGCTTTATAGGATTCTAACGTTGTTATAAATAGCATTTCAAAAAGGTAGTTAAATCAATTTTAACTTAAACATTGCCGGCCACCTTGCAATACCTTAGGAATTGCAAACGATTTTAAAACGATGTAGATTTTTAAGAAGTCTCTCGTCTTTCCCCACAGGACCTAAGTCCAGCAGGTGGATTTTTAAGAAGTCTCTAGACTTTCCCCACAACCGATGTCCCGCAGGTGGATTTTTAAGAAGCCTCTCGACTTTCCCCACAGCACCGAAGTCCTGCACCTGCATTATTATTTAATATAAGTTATATAATATACAGTGTCTCTCATAAGTATTCGAATTTAGGTAAACTATGAAAAGATACCAAATTTAATAATATATTTTCTATGCAAAATAAATAAATTAATTTGTTATATTGTCTAGACAGTCCTTATGTTTGATATATCGTTTTTTAAAACTTGAAAAATTTACATTTACTTAAATTTATTTAGCTTTTTTTTAAAAAAGTCCCTAAAACTACTTCACAAAAGTATACGAATTTATTCTGTATTTCATATTTGAACATATTATACGAAACACAAATTCTAGAATCGAATGGTTTTTATGCTTAAAATTGTTTTAAGGAGTTACTATCAACCGAAAGGATATATTTTTGGCCCATTTGGTCCACAATTTTAGGGGATTTGTATCCTCTTTTCATGTAATATCATTAAAATGGCGATTTTTGAAAATATTTGTAATTTTTTTCTTCTTTTTTCCAGAGATAAAACCAAAATTTTATGTTGGGATTTAATAGACCCCTCGGGATATCCAAAAATAATGTTGTTTGTTACAAGAATCTGTATATAAATGTTCTAAGATATATTATTGAGATCATTCTTCTGTAGCTAGTTCAATATAATGGAACTTAGGACTATTTTTATAATACTAGGGTCAAAAATTTTCGGGGAAAGTTTTCTGGTATGTATTTTTTGGATATCAGCTTTTATACATTTTAAGTTTTCAATGTATTGTGGAAGTGTATAACTCCAAAACATGCCTCGAATAAACACCTTTCAATATAGTAGAATCATTCTTTTTATATAACAATGGCCTCCAGGCTGCATGTCACCATATCATTATGGTCTAACTCAAAAATATTGATATCTTTTAAATATTATTTACTATGTTCAAAATAAACCCAAAATTTTATACTTACAGTGTTATTGTAATGGGCAACATAAGCGTGAAAGTTACGAGTACTAAAAACTGAAATCTACTGTATAGTATGTCGTTTTGTTAAGGCATGTTTTGGAGTTGTATATCGCTATAATGTATTGAAAATTTAAAATATTTTATTGCTAATATCTGCATGAATATATACTAGTTAACTTTGTCGAAAAATATTGACCCTAGTGGTACTAAAAAGGACTTAAGATCCAGATAATTCAAATAGAAACAGAAGAACGATATCAAAAATACGTCTTGGAAAGTTTAAGTGCAGATCCTTATAAAAAAACTATTATTTTTAGATACCTCAAGGGGTCTATATTAAATCGCAATATTAATTTTTGGTTTTATTTCCAGAAAAAAGGAAAAAATTGCAAATCCGGTAAAAAATTGTCATTTTAATGATATTACATGAAAAGGTGATACAAATGCTCCAAAATTGTGGAGCAAAAGGGCTAAAAATATATAATTTCGGTTGATAATAACCCCTTAAAACAATTTTAAGCAAAAAATCATTTGATTATAATTTATGTGTTTCGTAAAATAAGGTCAAATATGAAATACAAGAAAAATTCGAATACTTTTGTGAATCAATTTTACGGACTTTTTTAAAAAAAAGTTAAATTAATTTAAGTAAATGTAATTTTTGCAAATTTAACAGAGTGCGATATTAAACCTTAGGACTTTCTAGACTTTAATTATTCATTTCACACGCAAAAATATTATTAAATTATGTTTCCTTTCAAAGTACAACCAAATTCGAATACTTATGTGAGACACTGTATATTAAGATAATAAATAAGAATGTAAAAACATAAATAAGGTAGTACGAACATAAATACTACATTATTAACGCCAGAAACGTTAGAATTCGCAGAATGAGTCGGAAGTTTTAATCTTTTTCGTAAACGTTCAGAAATGAAAGAACATTCTGAACCCGATTCTATTAAAGCACGGACCTGATAATTATGGTTGTTATGAATTATGTTTACCATGTAGTCCCTAACAAAACGGACTGATTCTGTCTAGTATGAAATACTTGAGGATTAAAAGTTACATTATTGGACGTATGCGATTGTCGAGTGTGGGAGTTAGTGGGTCGTAAAACCTCACTGGAATTATGTTCAGTAGAAACAGTAGGTCTTTCAACTATGGAATTATCTGTATGCTGCAGATGAAGCATAGAATGATGTCGATTATTGCAAATAAAACAGTTATTATTGATCGTACAACTTCTAACTTTATGTGTCCTCGAATAGCAATTAGTACAGCAGTTATAGTCATTCACAATAGAAATTCAGTTACTGAAAGATTTTTAAATCGACGACAATTTCGCAAATAGTAAGACTGATTAGGGCATAAGATACATGAAGGTTTAGTAATAGTTAGAGATGGGAAAAGCGTAAAAACCAAATTGGTAAATTCCCAGTAAAATGGATAAATTGGGTAAAAATGGGTAAATACCCATGTGTTTACAAAAAAGCTGGGTATAAACTAAGTTGTACAACATTTTTTAAACACGCGGATTGTAAAAAGTAAAAATTAATTAATTTGTTATTAAATTATATAAAGTGGATGCTGCATCTGTAAATGTGATAAAAGTTATAGATATGTATGTGTTCGTTTGAAGACATTTTTTTTCAGAGATTCCAATTACGTGCTATAAAACCCTTTTAAGCTTTTCCACCAGTTGGTAGGTGGTATTTCTGGTATTATTCTCGTGTAGAACTTCCCATTTTTGAACCTAAAAAGATTATCATTTATGGATGCACTACATACATATGTAAATACAGGCATCACTGATATATTCATTCTCAACAATTTGTATTCAACGTAATGCATTTCGACGTATTTTTTTAAATTATTTTGCTTTTTTTAATTGTATTTTGTTAATTTTTATTAAATTCTTATTTTTATTATTAAAACTATTTGAAAACATTTATAAAGTAATTGTCAATAAGTTTATGAAAAAATTTAATGTAAAAAACTTTTTATAAATACCCCAAAAAGATAGAAAAAAGGAATATACCTGGTATTTACCCTCAATTTACCCATACATTGGGTAAATACCTGGTAGAATCCATCTATAGAGATAATAGATAATCGATAAACGAAAATAAAATTTTATAATGTTATAAAATCGATTACTCGTTTTTCGGTATTGGCAATGTGCCCTATGGTGTATGATCCCCCTTCTACCCTACCACGCCTCCTTTTTATAGTCCGCCCACATTTGTCTAAAATATTCATATTGATATCAAAGTGGTTCGGACGAAATTTGAGCACTCCAAATTTTATAGTTTCCCAGATATACGATTTTTGATACTAACTTTATATGGTGGATGACTAACTCTGTATTGATCTTTTAATATATCGTTTGGCGGCATTCGTCTTCAAAGCATTTGGCATGGTTCAGTTACATTATTTTAGAAAGATTATATGAAATATAAAAATATAATATGAATACCAATAGCAACACCACAATTGTACTTAGCCTATTGCAGTGACCTCCAAACCGTAATTACAGAAATATCGAAACATATATTCCTTAATCTCTGCAGCAATCTGTATTATGGACATTTGCGAAACCACTCTCACTTTTTTAACATTTGGCTGCTTAAATATCTATGACCAACTAAATGTTC